TACATGTTATTTAAGAATATACCCTTCATAAATTTGAAGCTCTAGACGAAATTAATGTACTATACTTACTTGTCATAATGCTTTGGCATGCGAAAGAGGAATGATTACTGTCTTTGGCTTGTAATATATCTTCTGACAGACACCATAGTAGCTTAATTTACGAGTTGACCAAAGCTAGTTTTATAAGCCACCAAATAACATGAATAATACAAACAAAACACCATGGTCATCAATATCTTATCGATGTTATAGTTTTTTTTAGTATCACCCTCAATCAAACTTGGTAGAACCTTCATGCCAATTCCTGAGTTGGATTTCTAGTATTTCTAGTTTAATAAAATCGACATCCTTCACCTGATTTTTGCAAGACAATATCAATGGGGAAATCAAAATTAAGTCTAACGTCATACAACACTATAGCCAAAAGAAAATATGATTCATTGCTGTTTCCCTAAGTCCAGTGTCATACTTTACAGATGTTTAGAAAGAGGACAAATTAAACTATAAATCAATAAAGTAGATATTGCAAAATGTATTTACCAAGATTAACTCGAAAACATTTGATAGGGGCAGAAATTTGGCCTTTCAATAGGCCATCTGCAGACCACTTCGTTTTATTTTACAATATTTCAGTACAAATAGACAGGACCTTATTTTTTTAACAACGCGGACATAAAAAAATTAAATGTACAGAAACCAATTCAGAAGCAACACGAACCCTTTCAAAAAACTTTTACACTAGTCCAATTGCTCCTTTAGGTTACGCAGCTCATGCCCAATAGTGGCACCCGACTTCCTGTCTCACATGACAAGTCCATGATAATTCACATTTGGTTAAAGTCATACTTAAGGATAATAACTACGACAAATTCAACATTTCCTTGCTCATACGTTAGACAGATATTCTATAATGGCCAACTTTATAAAGATGGCGTAAATTAAGAAATCATTCATGGGCGCCATAGATTTGATTTCATTTAACCAAGAGCATTTATATTCGATTGTTTAATCATATCGAGGGTCAAAACACGAATATAAATGCCCAAGCCATGGTTAAATAAAAACGAATCTTCGGCTGCCATGAATTATTTCGATTCTAATAGGACAAATACGGTATTTTTTCAACCTTGAAAGTCCTATTCATAAAGGCAACAGTAGTATACGGCTGTTCAATAGTCATAATTCGATTAAGCAGGAAACAAATCCGGGTAACAAACTAAAACCAAGGGAAACACATCAACTATAAGAGGAAAACAACGGAACAACAGAAAAACTGAACCTGTAACAAACGCAAACGCCAACATACATAGAAATGGACTGTAGATAAAACTGCCATATTCCTGATTTAAAAAAAAAAAATGGTGGGTTGAACCTGGTTTTATGGCTAGCCAAACCTCCGGCTAAAATGGCAATGTTAAAAATACCACTAAAATGACAACACTACGTGACAGGAATACAGTACAAACAAACGCAAGAAGACTGAGCACAGAGAAATACATAAATAAATAAATAATATACACACAATACTGTTTTAGCTGTTCCGTTTTACCCCCATATAATAATATAAATAATATTATATTATTAAATAATAAAAAAACCCTCACATTTCTAATTTAAAAATGTTCTTTTTATCTTATATTACATTCTGACGCGTACAAAAAGCATAAAAACGCACGGTGTTAATATTTGACGTCCGAAGCATACACATGTTGCCAAAGACGATAACATCATTCCGCGGAATTTTCGTTTTATAAAATTTTACAACGAAATAATAACTAAAATTGAAGGTTTTTTTTTTTGCATTAGAACACAGATATATTTATTGTATTTGAAGCTTGGCCTACGTAAAACTTGGGTTTTGATGTCGTAAATTGAGTTAATAAATAATGTGAGCGTTACGCAAAACAGCCAATTTTGTGTATCTATGCGTTTGCGCTAAAAGTCGATATACTGTGATTATACTGGTTGACTATATATCGGTCGTCATATAAGTGTGAATTGTATGTTTTCAATTTTTCAGTTTCCGTACAATAGCTTCCATGTAAGCAGTAACCCTAAATGAAAGAAATCATGATATGAAACGTAAGGTATTAGCTACCGTATAAACTGAAAGATAAACGTACTCCAAATGCTGGTTCTCCTTGAAAATGTAGCTACAATATTATTAAAAGAGACGATGGAATGGAAGATATCAAGATAACTTTCAAAACTGATATGTCGAAGAAAGACTGAAAACGACACGCAAAAAGTAAAATAACAAAAATACCGAACTCAAGGTAAATTCAAAACGGAAAGTTCATTATCAAATGGCAAATTCCAAAGCTAAAACACATCAAACAAAAGGAAAACAACTGCCATATTCCTATGACTTGGTACAGGCATTTCCTTATGTAGAAAATGGTGGATTAAACCAGGTTTAATAGCTAGCTAAACCTCTCACTTAAATGACAGTGAAAATGACAGCAAATGAAAAGTCGAACAAGTCCACCAAACACTACATATATTATTTAAGACTGACCAACACGAACCCCACCAAAAACTGGGGATAAATTCCGGCGCTCCGGAAGCCTTAGGGTAAATAGTTCCTGTTTCATATGGGCGACCGTCATATTGATTATTCAAGTACAAATCCAATGAATAGTCTCATTCGCTGAAGTCAAAATCAAGGAAAAGAGGACAGAATTGTAGGTACGAACATATTTGTTGTCATCTGTCACACAGATATTCTATAACCAACTCTTTATAATGTCTGTACAACTTTCCACTTGAAACCCTTGTTCAGTAGCATCCCTTTTATCGTAAAAGTTTGTTTTCTCAACCGACCCTCATGGTAAATTTCTAGATGTTAGTCAAGATATGAAGCAGACTTAATTGTATCTGTGGTATCCTTTATTTCAAGTTCGATGGGAGGGATGCGTTTAACTTGTATTTGAATGACTAGTATTTAGTGAGAGGATATCATCTTTATAGCGGAACGTGAGGTTAAAGGATTATGCTAACTTCTTTTCATTCATTCATAATGGTCTTCCAAACGTAACACGTATGTTGTCGATAAACAAATCAAGCATCTTGATGACGTCAATTTCAGAGAACTATTTTGTGTAAATCACAGTGGGTTTTTATTTACGAATTATGCTTTATTCTTACCTCAAACAATGTTTTTGTATCTATGTAAACCATTCTTTTTTCATGAAACAAAGTTCAACTTTCAATCTGTCTTTAAATTTAGAACCGGATATCTTAGTGTAAAGGTTAGAAAACTCAAATATTTGCATGCTATTGCCAGAGGAAAGAGAGTTATGTTGTATATAAAACAGATCTTTCGATTAATTTTAGTATCAACAATATCCGATTCACACCGCTTCTAGAGTTATGCAGCTTAACAGTAACTCTTAAGCTTAGCTTTGCTTGCTGATACAGTTGATGTTGATGGTTTGGAAAGAGGTTTCGTGGAGCACTTGACAGACCCAGAAATATTATGTTGTTTGTGAGGACAGTTATATAATTTTGGTATCCAATATATTGAAGGAAGATAAAGTTATTCCTCTTTGGTTAAAGTAACAAAGGAACATAGAACATACCTTATGATTGGTCATCCTCTTTGGTAAGTATCAAAAAATAATATGTTGAGTTTCCAATTGAATTGTCAGTACCACATTCCGTTATCAAACAGTTTATGTAATGTGATTAACACACATAGACCTGTTATACTGGGCTTTATCTACGTGTATATATATATATATATATATTTGTCATGGAAGTATGACAGAGGTTTAACAATTCTTTTGATTAGTCTTCAAGTTTAGATTGAAAAATACTGTGTAAATTTGGAGGTGTCAATTGCACGAGAAAGGGGATTTTATTTGTAGGTACTCTTAGCATATCTTTTTTATGATTTTCACATCAAATTCAAACTGCCCCTAGATAAAATAGTTCATATCAATAATGAAGCCCGTCTTTTGTGCAAAAAAAAAAGATAAGAGGTTTCCTTAATCTTTTAGCACGCAATTATAAAATGCCATTTATAAAAAAAATATGCAACATAGATATCCGATATAGTTAAAGAAGACCCTGATCATCCATGGGTGAAATTTCAAAGTATTATTATCAGATCTATGATAGTACAATATTTCCGCTATTAATACGTGTCTTTGATTATTTGTATGACTTGCAACTTAATTGTCGATACCCGAATCCATTATCAAGCAATGGGTATTATCAATACATAATTCCCTTATCACAGATGACCATATGAGTTACTGTCTTTGCCTCTTGCAGCCTAAATACTGCCCTTTAAACCAGTCGATACACTTTGCATATATTTTTTTTTAATCTGTTCTTATCCTGAAATAAACGAACTATTTGCCACTATGCGTTAATTAATCAACAAACAGTTAATCAACTGCCTGTCACTTCGTTTGGTATACTCATTGAAAGAACAGTTTGTAGTATCCTTATTGTCAAGTTCATAGGATACATGTAAGTTCTCAATGAAAATATTAGCGTGTAAGAGGTCTTCATAACTATATCTATAAAAATAACGAATTCAAGTAGATCCCATTTTTCGTGTCTCTAAGAAGGTGTTTATTAATTCTGCTTGATATGAGTATAAGAACAGCAATGGAAGATCTGGATGCGCATGAGATTCGGTTCCTCGTGTCCCACCTTGTTTAATCGTTTTTAAAGTTTATGTTATTCAGACTAATTTTACTGGAACTTTGATATGTTTAAGTGTTTCTGTCTGAATGTCTTTGCACCGACGTTGGTTCTCTCCGCTTATATATGTGTATACTTTAAGGATTTTACGTCGACGTTTTGTGCAATTTTTAATTTTCAAGAGGTCATGAAACAATAGAAGGAAACTGATATAATGGAGTATATGAATAAATTATTGCACTTGACTTTTAAATAACATAAGAGGCCAGAAATGAGCTCCCCTAAAGCTACGAACCTGATATATTGTTCCAAACAAAGAAGGCTAGACATAACAGTATGCAGTATAATTTTAAAATTTTTATTATATACATGAAGTACATAAAGTATGTATACTCGAATAACCACATTTGTGACATACCCACACAACGCAATTGCCATTATCCGAATACTGTATAGTTATTTCCATTAGTTATATTTCAATAATTCATCAAATTCTACATCAGATCTCCCAGCAGGTCTAAATTTATTTTTCAGATGCACCTAGGGCGGCATTAAATGCCGATGAACGAAACGCACACTTTGAAAATACACACCAAGCCACTGTTTGAATAAAATGAGAAAAAAAACCTTTAATACACTGTGCACATTTTACAAGTGGTTGTGGTTTATTTTACCGTTCAGTAACTTCGACTACTTTTAGATCCCTACCGGGTGTCTTTTATCTTTCTGTTAAATATTTCTGTCTTAAGAACCGATCAGAAATGAAAAGCACTTTCCGATTGATTTTTCAGTAAGCTCTTATGTTGTGTTTTACACCATTTTCACATGTAAGGGAAGGTTGAACGATTATAAACATGTTTAACCCCGTCACATTCTTTAGCATATCAAAGTTCGTAGGGATATATGTACATGTATTTTCAACTATTGCAATTTTATCAAAACCTAAGATATGACCTGTGACCAAAATGTGACCTACCGAATAAAACTTATCACAGGGTTTGTACTTACATTGAACAACTCGGCGGGTGCCATATTTGGAGCAGGATCTGCGTACCCTTCAGGAGCACCTGAGTTCACCCCGGTTTTCGGTGGGATTCGTGTTGCACGATTAAGTTTCTATGTTGTGTTTTGTATACTGTTGTTTGTCCTTTTTTGTCAGGGCGTTGTCAGTTTAATTTCAACTACGAGTTTGAATGTCCATTTGGTATCTTTCGCCTCTCTTTTCAAATATAAATGTTCAACAAATAATAAATGTTAGATAGATAGATTGCTAGATAGACTTTGGAATCACTATTAACTTTATTTACTTGCTATTTTCAATGGTTATTGATAGCCAGTCAAATCATGGCACTGGTAGCAAACTGATGTTTGATAAAGCTGTTAGAACAGTTTGCTACTATATCTATAATAGTTACATGTAATACAGAATGCTTGATTAGTAAACTGTATAGTGTGTGCATGAAGCACACACTCAAATATATCAGCTGCAACCCACACTCTATCATTCTATATTAAATACAAGCAGGTGACTGGTAAATTCTTAAAGAGGAAGCAATGTTAGAAGGTTTGTTCGATTATCTAATATTTAAATCATTTTTTTCTGATAATTGTTTTTTAGTTCAACGGTAGATTATTTAACATTCATTAAGTGATTTAACTATCTTAAACCTACCATCCTCAATTTCTGTGTCATCTCTTGTTGTCCCTGCAATTAGAATATTTGTATATCTCGAATTACTGCAGTTTCATAATCGAATTAATGTTGAAAAATTAATGAAATTTTAGTTTGTAAAATATAAAATACAGAAGTTTCAATTCTGTGAATTTACATTATCTGAAAATATTAATACTAAGAATGCCTTATTCTATTTGTTTTTTTTTCTATGTAATTGATGTATATATAGTCAATTTGAATTTTTTTGTCTAGCTTGCCTATGCAAAGCAACTTGGAATCCTTCTGATGAAAGATAATCCACATACATTACCTCTTTTCTGTCTGCTGTGTTTGTTCATTGGCGTAACTTCAGCATAGAGTGTCGTGTAGTCTTTACAAAACGATGCAAGCCTTTCTCCTGCTAAAGCTTTGACGTCATCATATGTCATTTTTACAGGAATTATCCTTAGGAAATGATCATGGACTTCAGTGGTAACACCCTGTGAAATTATAATACATTATGTCAATGACTACTTAATTAATCAATGCGTTTGTGTGTATATATCTATACTTTATTGCAATAAGCCTAGCATCCTAGAAAACTATCTACCTTTAATGTAAGGATATATATATATATATATATATATATATATATATAATATATATATATATATATATATATATGCTAACATAATATGTAAGTAGATTGTTTTCTTTGTTGTCTGTGATTTCGGTATTCATAACACTTATTCCGGGACAATAAATCAGGCAAACAACGGCATCAACGATAATACTACGCTGTCAAAAAAGTTTAAAGGACACATATTTCATCACTATTTATTGATTCAAAATTAAAAGGAAATCATTGAAGTTTAGGGAAAGGCATGTGAAGCTTAAATGATAAGACTTACAATTCTGTACTTTTCGTCTGTTCCCATTGGAACGGGTGTTTTTGTTAAGATACACGCTTTCCTGTTAATGTTCTTTAATACTCCGTAACCCTGAAATATTAATGACAAAATTACTTTTTCGTAGTATTTCTTTGAATTACAAGCAGCACGTTTTTATTTATTATTTTCAACAGAAAGTACAGACATTTTTATATGATGAATCATAACGCCTTCATTATCAAAGAATAGAACGAATTGATATTATAACTTAAGATGTAAAGGCTGACGCATCATTATGATAAATTTACTTCTCCACAGAAATACTTAAACGTCCTTCGCATTTAATCCATTGAACTTAAAATACATAGATAAAAATAAATTTGATTCATATCGTAACAAACATCTTCATATTGATGCTGAGAGTGACAATTTACGACAAAAGAGATATTTTATTTGTGTCAGTTAGGATTTTCCATTTTTTCAGCGCCGTTATATGGCTTATATATTTCCTAGTTGGCACGATATTAAAGACCTTTGCGTTTTAAATTATGATTTCCTTGATAAACGTGTGCTGCTTACAAGGAAGCCATTGTGCATAGGGTTTTGAATAGAAAAATACATCCCTTTGAAATTTTTACAGACGCCATATAATTTGATTAAACGGTTTGGAGATGACACGAAATGTTTCATTAGTCGTAGACATATCTCTGACTGGGACTTACAACCGAATAACTTCTTTCAATGAATAACAAGGCAAATGCCACGCGTGGAGAAGGAACCATTATTTCGAAACAACCCCGATTTTTATGTTCGTGTTTATCGATTTTTAATTTCCGTATACTGTTGTTTAACTACTGTGTCTCTCTTCGTTATTGTACTTTGGCCATGCTGTTTTTCTTCACTTTGCTGTTTGTTGCCGCTACCCATGTATCTATTCCTTTGTTCATTCATACTTTTTCATTGTTATGTACGTCCTGTTACACATTTGTATTTAACATATCTCGATAAAAGGTTGTTATATTTGAAAGTTTTATACTTTATTCAGTATTGTTAAAACCCATAGTCTATGCATACCGTGTTATAATCATGGAAATTTACTGTAGGTATGCCATTCTTGTATTTAGAAACATCGCCAATGACTGCAATGACAGTTTTGTCGACAGAGTCATGTATAACATCCATATGTACTTCCCGACCCTGATGATCAATTTCAATCAGATGATTTACCTACAGAAATGAACAGTGATTAAACAATAAGACTAACATTACAAATCAAACCAGAACTATTTTTAATTTAAATTTGAAAAGATGCAGTTCACGTTATTCAGACAGACTTTTGAGAAGAAAAAAAAATTTGTTTAGTTTAGAAACATTAACAATTCCCACTTTGTATCTCCTACACACTCCTAATTTGAAAGGTGTGAAGGCATAACGGATTTGAACACTTTAAGAATACTTTATGTAGGTAGTAAATAATGGTGTTTTTAGCACTTCTGCATGCCTGTACATAACACTGGAAAACAATAGTATGCCGCATTTTCTATGCGTATTGTGGTCGTATATATATGATAATGTCTTAAACAGAAAAAAAATAAAAGAAATTGAAAGTGGCTTCGACACTTTTGTGATTATAATCGTCATATTCGCAACAATTTGACTGTGTATCAAATGCAATGATATGCGCTTGCGCTCTAGATGAAGGGTTATGGTTAATTTTCCTGGACTGAATTATATATCAAAGCAATTTTCAAGATGTCTTAAGGTCACACTTCGAAGCTTAAAAGCAATATTATGTCGTATTTGTAAAAATTTCTACAAAATATAAAGATTTAGAAAAATTACCAAAAGTGAAATTTTATATATGACAAATTATCACCCTTAAAAACTGAATAAAGGACTGTCCATCACAACATCTAAGATCAATAAGTCGTAACAATGTGAATTAATCTCGTTATACAAACGGGGGCCGTTAACTCAACATTTTATCTCTCAACATTCGCAATTATCTACCAAAGCTTTTGTTATAGCTACATGCAGCTCAAAAAACAATTTGATTTTGTGAATTAATGTAACATTGTTGCAAAATGTTTGAGTGTATAAACTCATCAAAGATACCAAGGTTCTAATTTGGTACGTCAGACGCAGTTTCGTCTTGATAATACTAATCAGTGAAGCTCGAATCCAAATAAGGCAACAGTAGTATATAAGAGGAAGACAACGGAACAACAGAAACACTGAATTGCATCAAAAACAAACATACATAGAAACAAACTATTTGATAAAAACTGCCTTATTCCTGACTTGGTACAGGACATTTTAAGAATAAATGGTGGGTTGAACCTCGCTATGGCTAGACAACCTCCCGTTTATATGACAATGTTAAAAACACCGCTAAAATGATAACATTACGGAGGCCCCTCATGGGGGTGTCCAAGTAATCACATAATCACAATTTTATTTGCCAATATAATCACATAATCATTAATTACTTTTTTAAACAAGATAATCAAATAATCAAAAATACAGTCCTAGGTTAGCAAATAATTAAACTACATGAAATATTTGGTCTGGTAATCAAATAATCACTATAAAATCATTATGGGCAGGTAAGCCAACTAAAAAGTAAAATCACAAAAATACTGAACTCCGAGGAAAATTCAATCGGAAAGTCCCTAATCACATGGCAAAATCAAATGACAAAACACATCAAACGAATGGACAACAACTGTCATATTCCTGACTTGGTACAGGCATTTTCAAATGTAGAAAATGGTGGATTGAACCTGGTTTTATAGCGCTAAACCTCTCACTTGTACGACAGTTTTATCAAATTCCGTTATATTTACAACGATGCGTGAACAAAACAGACATTATAAATAAAATAGTCAAAATATGGGTACAGCAGTCATCACTGTGTTACAATATCAAAACAAACAATTATTTACAAAAAAAGCACAAAAGCATCTATCAAATTAAAAACCACATTCATTGCTTCGCGTGTCTGACGTCAGAAAATGTGAACGTCACATAAGAAAAAAGTTTGTCATTCAATGTTTATTCAAAACAATTTTATAATTTCACATGGGGAATGTTGGTATACAGGGTTAAAAAATCAAAAGTTATGTTAGAATTAATTTCAGAAATAGACCGAGATTTAAAATTGTCCAGAAGTTCTTTAGATTTTTAAGAATCCACATATGGTAAATACCACTACGCGAGTAAAATAAATTTGTCGTTTGTCGTTCAAAGTATTTTCAAATTTATAATAGAACAATAACATAATGACATATAATAGAACAATAACATAATGACGGGATCTTTTAAAGTACAGAGTCACGTTATAAGAACCACAGAAACACAAAAAGTCGCATATACAAAACACACCAGCAAAAATGAAAGATAATACAAACACATTGACGGGATGTATAAGTACCTAGCCACGTCAAATGGATATCACAGAGAACAAACCAAACAGTAAAAGTAATATTAATAATAGAACAAAGACAAATGAAAGAACAATATTACACGTTGTTAAGATGATAAACAACGTCAGTATGCAGAATCTATACTTCAAGGCCATCATGTATTATTTGTGAAGTTGATACGGAATATTTATCAACAAGGTCTTAAATGAATGTAATCATAAAAGGAAAATAATACTTACTTCAGGTGCAGTTTCCACGTACACAACCAGCATTATAGATAACGCCACTGCAATCCTCATAATTCCGTTAATTGTTAAAGTTTGAAATACTGCAACTAAAAAAATACGGAAAAATTTGTCATTTCTATAAAACGAAAGCAAAAACTTATGGAGTAAATTCGAAAACACAGTTTAACCCAAATGAATATAAATTCGACTTTTGTTTACTTACAGTATTTGCTAGTAGTCTCTTTTCCAAACAATATGATATGCCTCTTAAGAGGTGATCTTTTATATGCTCCTAAAACCGAGATTCAAAGTTTTTAATCGTCCTTTTAACTTCATCTTGTTTTTCTACGACGCACTAAATAATTTAGGTTCTGTTTGTTGATCGCTTTGATATAGAATGAATGTTGTTTACAAATTCACAAAAGCTGGTAACTACATAGTATACCTAATGACACACAAAATGTGTAACAAACATGCGGAAGCAATTATCAATTGATAAGCGTACATGGAATGAGAAGTAAGCTAAAAAGAATGACAAATTAGATGCAAGGGATTGTATTTTTAACATTCTGTCTGATAAGCTTTTAACAAAAATACTCTGTATAAACTTTCCTAAGGGAAGGGGTAAACAATATATTTTTGCCTTTGCAAGGTTAATTTGTATGAAACAGCAACCCAATGACAAAAATACAAAACACATCTAATTGGCACCATGCAATCTACAGTTGATATTTTGTTCGATTAATAATGCGATCAACTTAATAATTGTTCAATTTTGACCGCAAGATTTATTGAAAAATTAAATTTGTGATACACAATATCAATGTATTGAATAAGTAAAATGATGATGATTTTCCTTCCGAAGCACCTGATATCAACCCGGTTTTATGTGAGTGTTTCTTACATGTTGGTTCTCTATATATGTATTGTTGACTTGTTTTTCTTTTCGTCGACTTTCCTATTGTGCCATTCCATGTAAGGGTCTCTTCGACTTAACAAGCTTTGAATGTCCCTTTGGTATCCTCTGCCTCTTTTTATCATCACGTAATAGGTTACAATAACCTAAAAAATATCGAGTAGAAATATAGCATACAATATAGGTATAACATGTTGCATACCTTCCCAAAACATAATTAATACCATTGAAAATTGATTAGTTTATAGAAAAAAGGTCAAAAGATGCACTTGTTGATATGTTATGATGAAGGAATATAAATCATATTTGATAAATAATTTTAATATCACATTGCCCCAATGCCATTCATTAAATTCAACACATTTATATACTAACGCAGTTGTGTGGCCGTGCAGTAATTATTTTTATTAACTAAAGAGAAAAAAGTAAAATAACAAAAATACCGAACTCGAAGGAAAATTAAAAACGGAAAGTTAATTAACAAATGGCAAAATCAAAAGCTCAAATACATCAAACGAATGGAAAACATATTCATTTACGAAATAAGTAAATAATTGTAGTAATACTAGTAGTCGGGTTTTTGTTTGTTTTTTTGTTTGTATTTTTTTTTTTTTTTTTTTATTTTTTCATATTTTGACGACGATCGACGAATAACATTTCTTTGAACGTGGTAACAACACAATACATTTAACGTTTTTTTTCTGCAAACTTATATTGATGGAATGGAAAACATATTTATTTACGAAATAAATAAATCCTTGTAGTCTCGTCTACAAAATTTAGCAGAATGAAAGACATAGGAATTACAATCCTGCACCGACGTCGGCGTCGTAAAAGTTTTGTAGAAAGTTTTATATAAATAGAGAGTAAAAGACCTGCAGGATTCATATTTTGTATAAGATGGCTTGTACTAATAACTCTTTTTTCATATGTCCATTGTTATAGACCTCATTGTCTTAATTTAGCGACTGCTGTCATGTGAATTTTTCACTTTTTATGAACAATAGGATAACTATCTGTGTTATATGAGTTTCTTGCAAATTCTACATATCAATCAGACAGGATTCACCGGACCTCGGCCACATTTCATGGATCAGTGATCAAGTTTAAAATTACGTGATAATGTCCGTTTATCAGATATCATAAGCAGTCGATCAACTTTATATGGTGTATTGAATGATAGTAAGGTTTAGATGTCAGCATGACAGGTTTCATGTGACCTTGGCCTAATTGCCATGGTTAATTATTCAATGTTAAGTTTTTTTTTTTGGTTTGTATTTCATATACTAAAAACAATATGTCAACTATATTTTGTGTATGGAATGATTGCAAGGTGAACATGTCTGTCTGGTAGGTGCTATCTGTCCGAGACCTCATTTTCATGGTTCATTGGTCAATGTTAAGTTTCTGCAGTTAGGTTCTCTTATCAGATATTATTATTATTATGTGAACTATATTTGGTGTATGGTATGATAGTAGCCTTCATCTAACCTAGCTTTGACGTCATTTTCAAGGTTTATTTGTCAATGTTAAGTTTCCCTTCTTAATATAAATAAAAAGATGTGGCATTAGTGCCAATGAGACAACTCTCCATCCAAGCCACAATGTATAAAAAGTTAACAGTTATATGTCAAAGTACGGCCTTCAACACGGAGCCTTGGCTCACACCGAACAGCAAGCAAGTCCGTTTCTTGGATACGTTAAGCAACAGGTCAACTATATGTGGTGCATGAAATCATGACTTTCTGGTAGGCTTTAAATAACCATGACCTTATTCAAAAGATCATTGTTAATGTTATGTTGATTTGATACTTGTAATAAAACCTTTATCTTTAAGACCTCGAAAATTAAATGAACCATCATGAGTAAACAAGGCGACACATTTCAGCGTTTGCTCTCTTGTGTAAACTTTTAACTTCTGTGTATGCTGACATCACACCAATAAAAAGGGCATGTTGATTAAAACATACATGTTCCTCTTTGTGAGTATTAAGTGTTTGATCTGAGGAACATATCTAAAGGACAAAATAACAAAAACTCCAAGGTAGAATAAAAAAAGGGGAAGTCAATAAAAACTGATAAAATAAACGCAATCAATCAACGAAACAAGCGTTAAACAACTGTCATATTCCTGACTTGGCACTGGCATTTTCCGAGGAAATTGGTGGGTTACCGTTAAAACAAAGAAGCTCAAAATGGCATTAAACAAGGTCAACTTTCGACCACAAAAGGTTACTAACTTGCAGATAGCGCAACACCCTGTGTATGTGTCATTGTTTATATTGTCTGATGTTGCCGTTTTCGTCGTTTATAATAAATAAGCAATCACATTGACTGATGCTTATTTCTATTACAACCCCAAAAGATGTTGATTAGTTTATCGACCTCATTAGGATTTAATATTACTATAAATTCATATATAGTTATCAACTGACCTCTTTATTTGTAAATACATTTATTAATATCGTAATATGACTCAGGCTGATAGCCAGTTGAAATTAAACAAAAGAAATGAACTCTATATTTGAGAAGATAAAACAAGTTGGTGTATACTTGAATTGTTTACACCTGTTTCAGCGGCCTTTAAAAGGTTAAATGTAAATGAATGATTTAGGTTTTTTGCATCCTATATACGTGCTTATACTCAAATTATGGTATGGATCTAAGAGATATTTATAAACTTTAAAAAAAGACAATTTCTCACAAAATAGTCGATTAAGGTAGGTGCAAATACCATTTGAAAATAGTTCCATAAAAAGATAACAGATTGATCTTTTTAAAGCATTAATTTGCATCTCTTCCACCTACAGGTTGCACTTTGTAAATACAGCTGTTTCTCAAACCACGCCTCTTTTGGGGAGATATTTAATATTCATAGGTATGTTAATTTGTTAACGTACTGGTTCCCATTGATGATCTCTGTGTTTCATTTCATAGAGACATCACTTGGGAATGTAACCAGTATAGAAAAACATGGTAGCGGCTAAATTTTAATTCTTAGGAGGTCCAAAATGGAGGTAAGGGCGGTATAGAATTTTAGTATAAGTTTAAACTCTTAGAAGTTCAGGGCATATAAATGTTGAAAATATGCCGCACAGCCCTATATTTTGACCTTTGAATAAAATAGTAGTGCATATAAACTTTCCGTTCTGGGATATTATTTTTCACGAAACTTCATAGTAAAAGTGTCACAGTTTTAGCCGCTAAGGGAGTTCCTATGGGAAATTACATTGTCAGTATTTACAGAATTGCAACCTATATAGGGTTAAAAAATAGAACATACAGAATTTCACAAAATCTGGTTTATCTCAGAGATTTTAAAGAATTTAACTCAAATATGAAGTTTTATAAATATTTCATGAAGATTGAGAAAAAATCCTGGGCCTTAACTATGATGACTCAGCATAAATTCACAGTTTACAGTATGCATGGTTTACTTAAAGCCCTGAATTCAAAATAAATTCATAAAATATGCCTATTTGTAATTTTAATTGTTTAGAAGTGCTAATATTTACTCTTCGCAGTAATTGCAACTCATTGATCCTTCCTAAATATTTTTGGTGGGGTGTTTTTGTCCTGTCGAATACCCAAAAGTAAGCCGTAACGCCTAAATGTGCTTTGTTGTGACTGCGGCATAAAAAAGTACAAGCTAAAATTACAAAAAGACCTCAATAAAACTTACAATAGTGTGTTCTATCCTAAATATGTAGTAAATATTCCACATTGCTATAAACAGGGAAAAAAAATAGGAAATGTGAGGCCCCAGGTGCAAAAAAACAGAGAAAAATGCCTACCCCTGAGTCATAAAACAGATAATTTAACTTGTAAATGCTATGATTTTTATTTTGAAGGTCTTTTATAAAGTAAACAATAACTGTGCTAGGAAGTTATGCAAAAATCAGATGTAAACAGTCATTTCAATCAAACTTTTAGTGAATTTATGCACCACACTGATATCTTCATAAATACAACTTTTGCAAATATGGCTTTGTTTAAACACTTCTAGGACATATATTAACTAACTTATGTTAGATATATGGTTAGGGATGATACTGTTGTGACAAGAATTCTAAACTGACCATTTGAGGCAGAAATTGTAAACTTTCATTGACAAATAGGCATACAGTAAGATGTGGACTGGAGACACAGGCAGGATTGGATACTTTGTATAATCTTGAATGTTGGAATGCTTAACTACTTAACAATACATTTCTAGTATTCTAAAATGCTTTCAATTTGTTATCAGAATAGTTTCAAACAGGTTTTAGACAGTTCATGTCAGAAAACATGCACATAGGGTAAGCTGGCAATAATTAGAGTCTTGTTTTCAAAATCTTTAAAAAATTGAAACAGTGGTAGGGGTATAAAATGTACTGTAAAAGGAGACTTAGAGTATATGCAGTGATTTCTTTAAGGCTATAATTATGATAAATAAGTATTGTTGTGAGAAAAAGTGTTTTTAGAGAGTTTTCT